GATCCCAATTCTTCCATAAGAATTAACGTCAATAATAATTAATTATGCGTCTTTGACACGATACGAAAATAATGATATTTCCCGACCGTCTCTGCACGCCGAGGAGAAAACAAAATAATAAAAGAAGAAAGGAAAAGAAATTTTAAAAGAAAGTTCATCTTCGAGAAACAATATTTTTCAGAACACAGAGTGGGTTTCTAGGATTAAATACCCAGCTGAAAATTTATTCGGCCACACAGTAGCACGCTCAACTCTTTCATTCAAATGCTAACGCGCTCGATGGCCGGCGAGTTTTCCCTCCCAAAATTTCCCGGCTCTTGGTTCCTGAGCTTGGTTGTCAAATTAATTTATTATTTCCGCGGTGCGAAAAGTACTGGCCATTTATTTTATACTTCGTCGCTACTCTGGTTTTTTAAACGATCGTTTGATCGTCACACGACCAAACGGAATAACATCGTCTCTCTTTTCTATCCATTTCTTTTCGCTCTTCTTCTTCTTCTTCTTTTTTCTTTTTCATATTTTATTTTCCGGCGGTTTCAAGATACCGCGAGAGCTAAAGAAACGCGAACGCTCCGGGCATTATTTCGCCGAGACAGCGAAGGGACATCTCGGTTTCCCGCAAGATATACAGCCGGCATTGTCGTCGGGCCGCGATTATCTCGCGTCGAGCCAGCAGATAATAATTGAACGTCTAAAACGGATTCTTTCGCATTGTTCGCAAAGATCTTTCAAATCGCGCGCCATTTATTACTATTTCTCCCCTTTCCTTTCTTCGATCGGCAGACAAACGTGAAAATTATTTCGGCAATTTCGTTTCGTACGATAGTCCGATCCGGGTACAAGCTAGCTCTCTCTGGAAACTATTGTTTCTTTTCTTACGATTTCTTCGACCGACGCAACAAGTAATCTTAATATTCGAATTACCGCGCAAAATTTCCATCAGAGACATCGAAATCCAAAGAAAAGGAGAACTTTGTAATATTTCCAATGGAAGGTGTACAGGCGTTTATTTATATATTTTACAAAAAATTATTTAAATCTTTGACGACACGCTGTTCTACGACTGTGAAATGTCTGACAAAAATAAAGAATTGATCATTTTGATCACTTTGGCGGATCACCAGTGTTAAAAGCAGTGATAAGCACGGGAAATTATTTTTAATGATTCTGTTCGAGTAGTGCTCTCAATCCGAATGAATGAAGCTTGAATCAACTACTACGAAAAAGTTTCGTGTCATTTGTTTTCGATCGTTTCTTGCGAACAACTTGCGAAATAAATACCGCAAAATGTAGAAATTATAATCTTGTTTCACAGCAGTCTAGATCTTTACATATTGCAATTGAATAATCGACGTTGTTACCAACTTCTTCGAAACAGTCTCGCGAGTCGTTTCTTTCCTTTAATTTCATCGACGTTATTAACAATAAAAAGAAAAGATACACTGCGCCTTGAAGGGAAATAAATAACGAATCTTCAAATGATTTCACAATCAAATCGTTGCCAGCGATGTTTTAAAACGCATTCGCTCTAGGAAACAGAACTTCTCCGGACAAGTCCCAATGAGACAATCACTCAAACGTCGTCGGTGGTAAGTCGTTAGGGTTGAGGGCAAAATTTTCGCGTAGTTTGTTACTCGTTTCTCGAATGTAAATTAATCTATTTCCCCGGGAGAAGCGTGTTCAGTTTTACGACGTTTTAAGCGTGCCATTCAAAATAATTGCAATAAAGTTGCAATAGTTTCCATGTGATACAGTGAGAACTTTTATTTTCTTATTACGCTCGTAGTAGGATACACCGTCTACAGATACAAAATTTTGACTTTGCTGTCTTTCTTCTTTATACAATCAAAAATTTATACGATATTACATCTCGACAGACGATCATTAAAATGTAAATAGCGTATATTATACAACGATATATGCGAAATTAATAGAAATATTTTTTTAAATGCAAACAAGTTTAGATGTTCAATCTTTATGCATTCTATATATAGAATAGAATAGTTTCAAAGAAGAAGAAGAAAAAAGAAAATACCCGAGGGAATAGAAACACGAAGGCGAAGTAAGAAGAACAGCAAACCTTCAGTCTTTTAAGCAAACTTTATCTTTCCCCGAGTGTTGTACGAATAACACGTCGATCTATCAACCCTGTAATATTTCTTCGACTCTTCGTTTATTGGTACAATCAAATCGTTCATAGTGGCGAGTCTTTAATTGTTCGCGAGCAGTATATAAATCGTTCAGAAGCCACGCCCATTGATCAACTCCATAAATTGGGGAGGATATCGTAAAAATAATGATGTTAGAAATATAGAGCTTACCATTGTTGTTTGCAACAGCTCCTTGCGTTAAATAAAGATAATTCGCTTGTTTCTTGAGCGAAGAATTTACGTCGTAATTTATATCGGTAAGACCGAGCGAACGATGCTTCTTCATTAAACGTTCGTTCCCGACTACAACAAAAGTTATGGCGATCGAGCGTTCGACTCACACGTGGCAAATTATTCCTGGAATTCCAGACAGAGATTTCAGTCCGCTCGATTTCAACAAACAAACGTCGAACGTAATACGAATGTTTGCTACAAACATAGTTATTATATTAGAGCTCGAATTTTGTCAAAGTGCGGGGCAACACGTTCGTTCAGTGTAAACGAAACTATTTCATTGCTAATAAAATCAACGTTGATCAGTTTTGCTTCTGAGAGGCTCGCGCGTTACTCGAGAATTATTTTTAACCTGCTTTATGCTACGATCTTGTTCCCATTTCAGTAAACGAGAAAGAAAGTTAAAATTAAACGTACGTTTGTTGAACCCTCTGCAATATCCTACAATCTGTGAATGTACGTATCCATCTTTCACTGTTGTATATCATACTACCCCGATCCATTTGTACCAGTTTCCAGATTCTTGTTTGAAATAAATTTAACTAACTTATTATAGAGAAATAAATTAATTCTTATAATTTTTCTAGAACTACCAAGCATTGTCGCGGACTGCTTTTCAATGGAAACTTTTTCCGAAAGAAAAAAAAAAAATTATGAAAATAACAAGAGAAAAAAATATATCGTCTCCTGCGAGTGCTGCTAAAAGTGAATCGAACAAATATCTGTACTGCGTGTGTGTAACAAAGAATGTAATAAAGAATTACGACTTACTAGTTTAACGGTGTTCCCTGCTCGTTTGAGCGCATCGACGGCCGCAGCGTGCGGTACGTCGACAACGGAAACCTCGTTCACCTGGAGTATCGTGTCGTTGACGCGTAGACGACCGTCCGCTGACGCGGCACCGCCTGGTATGAGTTTCGTGATGTAAATGGCAGTGTCGTTGCCGAAGTGTGGATTGTCTGTGCCCCCGGCGATGCTGAAGCCAAGTCCAGCACCACCCCTCTCGAGTACGATCTCCTCGTACTCCCAGTCATCGTCTCCGTTGACCTGTCATCAAATCATTTTTGTCCACGTTAATAAACTAAACTCCGTCTCTCTCTCTCTCTCTCTCTCTCTCTCTACGTGCAAATTATTTGATTTTTAAAGTTCGAGAATCTTGACATTGGTGCTGGGGTAATATCATAGATAAAGTATACAGTGAAATCTAGTAATTATTTTTTATAATATTAATATCATAAATTAGTGACGTCTGTAGCATTCACTAGAAATTCATACCGCATCAGTGTATTATATTAAAGTGACAATTCTACTTTAGTAGAATATGCATCTGCATCGACCGATAGTATTAACACATTGTTGACCGGTCACGAGTTAACTCGTGCATGCGCTAGCGTTAACTATTTTAATTTTTCGACGCTCAGGGTAATACAGGATATTGTGAAATCTTTCTTCGTCGTGTTCAACCGTGTTCACTTTATTATTAAAAAAAAAAAGTTACTTTTACTGATGTTTAGCCTTTCGTCGCAATTTTGGTGTTACAAAAATTTCCATCATGACGGATCGTGACAGGTGAAGAACTTTTCAATGAATTACATGCAGACGGTTTATCCGATCGTCCGAGTGATTTTGAAATATATTGTAGTGATGTGGAGATTGATAGTTTATCGGAAGTTTATGAAGTTACCAAAAAAAAATTACTAAAGCATATTATATATAAAAGATAACGCAAAGTTTTTATTTAAATTCATTCTGTATAAATAAAGTATATTGAAGTATTCCTCAATTACGAAATAATAGCCATGAGATAGCTTGCCGGCCAACAATGTGTGTCAAAAGTCATCTCCAATTTGATTTAAGTTTAATGAAATAAATCATTACTGGGTTGTCTGTGATGCCATTCGAAGATTAAGAACTGAATTTTTTTTAACAAAGTAGCGAAATAAATTGAAAATGCACGGGCGTGCAACCAAAAAAAAAAAAGAAGAAAAAGAATGATCGAAGTTTAAATGAGCGACGCGATGGAAAGATTGAAACGCATGAAGAATATGCAGCGTAACACAAAGGAAAGCAGAGATTACATCTGTAATCCAGTACGGGTCAGTTCCTAATTACATGAGGGGCGAAGCTTCCCGCAGAGCGAAGGAGTTAACTGGTTAATTGATTTTGAGACCCGCAGGAGGAGTAGATTAGGTCACGGATCTGGATCGATTGTGCTGGATTATGGTAGTTATCGCGAGAATGCTGATGCCGTTTAACAATGTTATAATCCTCCACGCGCCTCACGCAACAAGATTACCACAGGAATCTCCAACAACAGAAAAGCGAACTTTCTTCCTTTTGAAACGAGCTTTTATACGACTATGCAAAACTCTCCCTACTTCTTGTCCATAATAGGGTTGGATTAAATCAAATTTCTCATTCAACCGTGCGAAAAGAAGAAAAAACAAGAGGAGACAATAGCAATGTTTCACAGAATATCTCGCTCGCGAATCACAGTTTTGCATTATAACGCGGGAACGAGTCCTGCCAGTTTCGCGAATATTCGAGAAATACCGCGGATTTCGATGTGTTCATCGAAATGTTCAATTAGACTTCAGACTGTAGAAACCAACGTGCTGTCGTTCGATTATTCCGGCGAACGCGTCGACGAGTCAGTTTCGAGAAACATAGTTTGCAGCTCCGAATATCCAGTTCACTCCATTCAGAACAGCTTGTTTTTTTTTTTTTTTTTTTTTTTTTAAATCCGAAAGAACTGTTTACTCCGCGAATTTTATCCGAACGCGCGTTCAAAACCTTTCGAATAGAGTCTACGAGTCGTGGAATCCGCGTTTTCAATACGCAACGTATTACCTCATCTATTTTCGTTACAAATAAATTGCAACAGAGACACTTGAACCATCTGTCGGCCCCGTTGAATTATTTCTGTGAACCACGAGCTCACGAGACGAATCGAATCGGTCGGGAAAACCATAATCAACGGCTCTGAATCGTCCAATGGCTCCATTCAAGACAGAATTGGATCAACGTGGAAGCCTGCGGGGCTGCAAGCACGACGCCGCGTTCCGAAATGCATTCCAGTACGTACGGCCAGTATCGCGACGATGCGACGCGTGTGGCAATCACGAACTCTACGATAGATTTGATGCACGCTGCTGCATCAGTACATATTGCCCTGCGGAATCGTGAATTAATCGCCGGGCCGAATTACCATTCTACGAGGAGACCGGTGCCGGACAGATGGCAGCGCCATAAGGCTCGTTACCGGAACAGCCAGTTACTCTCTGCGGCAACAGAGCCTCAATCCAGGTGGCCGCGTTGACGTTACGATGCAATTACGCTAGGCGGGACTGTCGCACGACTAATCGACGATTAGCAACTGCTAGGTCCACCGGTGAATGCCGCCGGTTAATTAATCCGTGTGCGATCGGTATTTGGAAGAAGATCGGTCCGCTGGCGATATTGGTCAACGTTCGCCGCGTCAAAAACGACAAGCGTGTGGAATAATATTGTGCGAGACGGACACCGGCTGTTTTCTAACGTCACGAGGAAATTATATTGGCACAGTCATTTTGGAACCAGCGATCAAGATGACCAACTTGGAATTCTTTTTACAGACGCAAAACATAGCGTACTTTTACAGATTCCCCGCAAAATGTAAATAAATTGAATAATGTTTTTCCTACTATTCTTCTGATTTCGATGTCTCTATTAATGGAAATTCTTTGCTTTGTTGAAGAAAGTCGAACATTTTTCTTGAAATTTCTCTTACGTGCATTGGTGTAAAACTCGAGTGGCTTTGAATTAACAATTATTTTAACAATTTAAAGTTCTGAATTATAAAGGTCTCGTAATAGAGACTCAGTTAATGAGATAGATTAATTTAAAAAAAAAAAAAAAAAA